GCCATGCGGGAAAATGTAGTCGGACCAGCGCCTCCTCCGCCAATTGAGAGAAGTGTCTTGACAGGTGGATTTTTGGAGTGAAGAGTTGATGTGAAGTCGATGAGAAGGTTTGCTGTTGAGGCATCTATGTCGAACTTAAAGGTTGAGGCATTGGGGTTGAGAAATGCGTAGTAGATGTGAGTGAATAAGGTTGTATCTACGGCGGATGGCGGAAATTCTGCAACTTTCCATGAGGGGTAGTAAGCTCCCTTCATGGCCTTAGAGGAGTATGAAGGGCTAGCATAGCTAGAGCTGAAGCTGATGATCAAGAATAAAAGACAAGTGCAAAAAATGCTACTACTAGTAGTAGCTTTCATGGTAGCTGATCCCATTTTGTTTTTGTTTCTGGCTAATTCTGTCGTGTTTTCCTATATATAGAAAATGGAGCTGTTGATGAAACTGTTATAGCCAACGGTTTCTTGTTTTTGTGGGGTTTTATTTCCTTTGGATTGTGTCATATATATAGCCTTGGAGTTTGCTTCATGATCCAGAAGGATTGAGGTTGGGTTCTGAATTTGCGCTATTGATTGAATTTTTGGTGTTACGCTATTACGCTGATCCAGTTAAGGTTGAGAAGGGAAGCCTTTGACAATTTCAGTTCTGTTCTGGTCAGCGCCTGACAAAACAGAGCCGTCCTAGGTGACTTGTTCAAAAGCGGATGTAGTGGGGCTGATACATTGATCGGTTCACCTCTGCGCGTTAATCATTGTGTTATTTGATACTTCAACTCAACTTCTTGTGCTTGAGCCATTTCACAATCTCACCACCTTGTATATTACTTACATTTATTGGCGTCTAAAATATGCTGCATTATATATATATATATATATCAGCATTGATATATACAAAGTGATTAGTTGATTATGCCTAAACATGTTATGAAGTATATAAATACTTCCGAATGCCTACTCTCGAATAATTTATTTATGGGTTAGAAATGCCTAGATTAAGACAACCAATCTCTTTCAGTTCAGTTGGACCATGTTATTGGTTCCTTAAATATTAGCCGAGATTTAGGGAATATTCACGGGAACCACATGAAACGCATATATATTAATATCAAGCTTGGACCAAACAAGAAGCACTAACAAAAGTTTTGATTTGTGCATCCCCACTCATACCCAAGAAAGTCCAAGAAATGAAAAGATGAGTAGAAAAGACAAATGAAGTCTGAGTCCTTGATTTATTGAGGAAAAAAAACAGAAAGTAATCCTAATAGGATTACAAGATTGAAGGGCATATATGAAAAGCCCTTGACGTATGTGAAGATTGACAAGATTGCTATAGGATTAATCAAGGGTTGTGGGCTTAGCATCAAGCTTATGCTTTTTATTTTTTTTTATTTGATAACATCGGTAATTGTTTCTTTCTCGTTTTCTTGGAAATCCAAATACGGTAAGAACATCTATTTTTTTCAGAAACATGCTTACAAGAAAAGCATTTTTTTTCAACTATGTCGTGCATTATTTCTTAAGGTATTGAGGAAATCCAAATATTGTTAAAACATCGATTTTTTCATACGCACAAGAAAAACACTTTTTCCTTTTCTATATAGAGCTTTATTTCCTCAATTGTTGAGTTTGACAAAGAGGCTGAATTAAGTAAATTTCTACGCAAGAAAATAATCGAACACTGACACCTTCTGGAATATTTGACATTATTATTGCTTCAGTAGCTGCCCATAATTTGTTAATCAATTGTATTTCAACACCATAATTGGTCTGTTACGTATACATGTATACAAGCAAAATTTGACTCTGCAACGTAAACCTTTTTGATGCAAGCGTTTAATGTTTATTCAGTCAACGCAGAAGCTTCTCACCGTGGCTGTAATAAGTAATTGTATCATTAAAAACTTTGAAATAAAGACAAGACTATAAAAACATAGAGTCAATGGAAGATTGTATTGGAACGTGACATGTTCAACCCAACATCACAATCAATATTGAACATTCCCTTAGGGGATAATTTCAGAAACCTCCCTTGAGGTTTCTGACAATTTCACTCGCTCCCCACAATTTTAGAAAATTATACTGACCTCCCTCGACTCAATAAAATAACTACAATACCCTCTATTTAATAGATAATTTACCACATATGTGGGACACAAAAACCAAACCAAAAGTAAAAGAAAAATAAAAACCGATAGCAACTCGTCATCATTCCCAACCCTACTTTAATTAACAGCAGTTTCTTTTCTCTTTTCCTCCTTTTTTTTCAACCTCTTATGATTCTCTCCTTCCTGCTTATAATCCCATAGTCTCTTCCACCTATCAACTACACCACCATGCAAACCTACCCGAAGTGTTTATTTCTTGTCTATTCCTCTCTTTCCATGGTATTTAACTATCAGCCCCTCTTGTTTATTTCTTCTCGTATTATAATTTGCATACATTAAATAATCAAAATTTCCAAAATTACAAATTGAGAGAGCAAACGAAAATTTCATGGTCAAATTAGATGGAGATGATGAACATGGTTGTGATAGAGGGGAAAAAATGAAATTAATGAGTTATGGTTGGAAAAGAAAAAGGGACGAATTTGGACTATGTTATTATGCCTGTTATGCTCTAGAATCTAATATCTTCATTTGGTTTCATTTTTTTGTTTGATTTACAAGTATTGGTGGTAATTTGTCACAAAGATTAATTTCTCTATTCCTAACGCCATTGGAGTCTGCAGACGGATTGCATCTCCTTTTGCTGAGTAGGAATGTTTTGAGCATAAACAATCCTATGGGCAATAGGAAACTAAAAGCAAGGAATTCGGTAGAGCCCCACTTTTGGTTTGATTCTCAATTTTGGCGGGGACCACGGAGATAAGAAGCATGAGTCATTTGGACTCTTGGAAAAGAAACGTACAGAAGCTTGTGAAATGGAATTGGACTCTCAATTCGTGCGGGAACCACTAGATAGATAGCATTGAGTCATTTCTTTTGGCTTTAAGAAGACAAACGTACAGGAGGTTTTCTTATCAATAGTTTTAGCTTAGTTTTTAGCATAGTTTGATTTTATTCTTTCTTAGTTCCTTTGATGGCCTGGACCTCAGTAAATTACTTGGAGATTTTCTCATGAGGCGTGGCTAAGTTTTTCTAGTCGAAGATCAATTTGAGGATTCGGTTCCGAACATCTGTGAGATCTAATTATTTTATTTATTTCTTTTATTTATTTGTATTTGTACGTTTCCTGATTTAATTATTTATGATTGTTTTGTTATTTGAATGTCAAGGGTCCGATATTCGAATTAACCTAATAATCTACTGTCATATTAATTGATTGAATCCGTAATTGTTCTATCGATTAATACCAGTGGCGACTAGCGTGATTGGTTTCATGTTAGGGAAACGTATGATCTAATTTAAACAAACCCTCGTAGCGTATTTGTTGGTTAGGGTTGGGTTTTTCTAATTATTAATGCAGTCAAGTAATTAAATCCTATGGTTGTACTTAGGGTTATTTCTTGATTAGAGAAATAGTTAACGGTCGTACCTTAACTATCGAGAAATTAAGGAAAGGCTGGTTGTTCATCGCGTGTATGGCAACTATAACCAATTTATTAATGAGTAATTGAATTATCTTTGCGTCGATGATCAGTTGCATAGACCGTGTCTGAAAAGTTGTACCTTTGGCTAGAGTCATATTGGTTATTGATTAAATTCTATTTATTTCTATTAGTTGTTTTATTAGTTAGTTAATTAGTTATTTTATATTCTCCAAAAACCCCCCCCATACTTCGGACTCTAAAAGAAATAAATTATCCCCAATCCTTGTGGATTCGACCCTGCTTATCACTATCTACAGAAATTATATTTTATTTAAGCAGGTATTTATTATTGCACAGGTTCGGCACCCTGTCAATTTTTGGCGCCGTTGCCGGGGACTGGTGCCAGATTAATTTGTTTCTTTTTGAGTTCATCTTGTTTTTATTTTTTTATTTATTTTTCTCTTATTTTTTTATATAGTTTATGGCTTCTAACACTCTGTATTTTGGTGATAGACTGGATTTTGTTTTCAGGGAAGGCAATGAGGCTTGTTTTTTTGCTAAGTTTACATATTCAGAGGCACTAAACTCTATTAGAGAATGAATGGCTGCTGCAACCTGTAAAATTTGTTATACCAGGGATCATTCAACCGGTATGTGCCCCGAATATCAAGATAATCTGAGTGTCCCACTCAATAATTATGGAGATTTTTCACCCTGGTCTCAAACGTGGTATAACTCTAATCCAAACGGGAATGATCAAGAATGGTGGGATAACTCCAATTATAATTATACAACAGGGCCAATGAATTTTCAGCAGTATGAGTCTCAAGAATCATCATCTATATCAGGTATATCTCTTGAAGAAATAGTTGAATCAATAGCTACTAATACATATCAATTCCAACAGGAGACACAAATGAGAAATGGGATGATGAAGGATGCAATGAGTAATCTGGCAGATCAAATATGTCTATTGACATCCAGAATAAATCGATTGGCTTCTCGAATTGAAGAATTGCCCTCGAAAACCATTGTTGATTTTGAAGAAAATGAGAGTGCAATTTGCTTGACTAGTGATGAGGAGATGCAAGAGTGTCAAAATGAGAGATCTACAGATGCAGTTGAAAAAGAAGCCGAAAAGGAAGAAATGGAACCCCAACCGCAACCCATTCAAGTGAAAGAATCCAGTGAAGAATCATCAAATGTGGTGACACCACCTCCATTCCCTAACCCGCATTTTCTTAACTCTTACTCTATGATTTCTGTTAATGAGATTGATTTTGTTATACCGGAAGTTTTTGAGTCTCATGGCAGAAATAAGTTATGAGTAGCTATGGTCAAATATCTTGAACCGTTGAGTGCTCTTGATGGAAGAGTGGATGTAGAATTGAGATCACTGCTTGATTATTTGGCGCCATCTACGTACTAGTCCAAGGAAAATCGTAGCTCGTGTGCTCAAGGATTACTCTATTTACGAGGGTTATCAGAACTATATAAAGGATGAAGCATTGAAACGAGTCACAAGATTTTATCCTCCCTGAGCAAAGATGACAATGTCTAGCCAAAGATATTAAAAAAAAGGCACTTTTTGGGAGGCAACCCAAATATTGATTTTATTGTTTTTCGTTGTTAAATTCTTTAATTATGTCGTTTCTTATTTAGGTTGTGGTCGGTCTTAATGTTTTCCTCCACTGTGGTCAGGACAGCAATCTTGGCGTGCCCACGCGGTGTTTGTGACTCCTGAGATCAGTGGGCGTTTGCCAATCTTGGTGTGCCCACGCGGTGTTGGTCAAATCTCAACATCGCGTGACATTGGCAGGAAATGCAATCTTGGCGTGCCTACGCCATGTTAATGACTCCTGAGGTCAGTGGACGTTTTATAATCTTGGCGTGCCCACGCTGTTTTTAACGACCCAAAACCCAAAACCTAAAAAAAAAATATATATTAAAAATTTCACATTGAGAAAATTCAGAAATTCAAAAAAAAAAACATTTTTTTCTTTTTCTTCAAAAATTCAAATTTTGAAAATTTAAATTCGGAAAAAAATTTTTTGGAAAAAAACATTGAAAAAAAAAACCCAAAAACTATTTTTTTTTCCCTTTTCTTTTTCTTTCTTCCTTTCTTTTCTTTCTTTCCTTGCCTTTTCTTCTTCTTCTCCGAAGTTCCCCTGTTTTCCACTTGTCCTTCTCTTCTTTCGTTTGTCCGCCGCCGCAAGCCCACGCCACCAACTCTGCCCAGCCACACCTAGCTCGCCGCTCTCCGCCCGTCACACGCGGCCCTCTCCCTCCACCTCGCAGTCCATCACTCACCTCGCGCCACCTGAAGCCCACCAAGCAGCCATGCGCCGCCAGTTCCCCGTTGCCCAGCTGCCATCGCCGCCGCCTCCAAGCTCCACCTCACGGACGACCACCAGCTCTCCTTCACACGCCACCCTAACTTCCTCTCTCCCTCGCGCGACCTTCCCCTTATGCGAAGCTCCGTCACTGGTCTGCGTAGCTTCTCAGCCCGTACGCCATCCACCTCGCGCGATCTTCCCCTCGCGCGCGCCGCACCACCAGCAGCTGCAACCTCGCGTCTCTCCTCCGCCACGCCATCACCACCTATCAAACAAATTGACAGGTGGAGGTATTGCTTTTCCTCTCTGTCGTTCGTACTTTCCTAGATTTTAAATTGCTGGAGTTGTTGCCATTTTCTTGGGTTTCTGGGTGGATAATAGCAAGAGATATATTGCTTGATTTTTTAAACCTGTGCTTTGTTTGGGGCTTCTATTGCATATTTGGGGTTGACTTGGGAGTTATTTGCCCAAATTGACTACCATTTTGATCTCTTCTATTTCTAGTCTTGCTTGGGTGTTACTTGGATTTATCAGTGCTTTTGTTTGGCTATTTGATTTAATTTTTCCCTGTGCATTTACCAGTGGTATTGGCGATGGTAGTTGTTTAACATTTGTTTATCCTGTGTTATTAGTTGCCCAATTGATCGAGTTGTGACTACTGGACATTTGTGATTGAATCATTTCTGTCCAACCTATGATTGAGTTGTTTTGGATAACGCAGGAGATGATTTGAGCATTTTCTTGGGTTAATTGCTGATTTTGGCAGGTTGAATGAGGTACTTGACTGTCCAATTGGAGGTGGTTGTTACGATTTTGGGTCCCATTATGTCTAATTTGCTGTGATTCGTGTCTAATTGTGGGTAATTTGCTTGTTAAATTGGGAGGTGCCTGTAACGCTTAAATTTGCTTATTGAAGTTAGTTGCCTCTGATTGCCTTGTTTAGGAGCATTTTATCCTTTTGGTTTCCTTTACTAAGCTCTTGGGAGCACATGTTGCACTTTGGATTGCATTGATTTTGAAATTGACTACTTTGGGACCGCAAGTGCTTATTGATTGCCATTGCTATAAGTGTTGGGGTATATGTATGTCCTCTGGGTGGTTGAATTGTGCATTTTATTCGTTGGATTGGCTTTAAAATTGTTATTGCTTTGAATTTTCGGCTTCCATTATTTGTTGGCAATTGTAGTCTCTTGTCGCTTAGAGTGATATCTAGAGTCCATGGTGAAGCCACGAATGGCACCAGCTCCAGATGCGAGTTGATCCACAATTTTCACCTGAACCGCCCCTATTTTGATGACTTCAGGGAAGTACCGTCGCCCCTCCCATTCCTTCTGCTTTTACATTATCACATTGAGGGCAATGTGTTATTTAGCTGTGGGGGGGGGGAAGATCAGTTGGGGTGCTAGTATTTTTGTTTTTAGTTTCTAGGGACTTTTCCTTTTTTTTTAGTTAGTTTTTGCCTATCTTTCATTTATTTTATTTTCTTTTTCTTTTTAGTGGTCAGTCCTTAAATGAATACCAAATTTTGATGCTGGATTGTTGTCTCTAATTCTGCTATTGCCAAGTTTTAGTAACAAAAGGGTATCAAGTTGATGTGATTGAGTTCATGAACATCTCTTTGGTGAATATCAATAATTGCTTAATTTTTCCAATTTTTGGTTAACTTTTCTAGGCATAGGGAATGATTGTCGGCATTTTTCATGTGAATTGGTCCAGTTATTAATTTTAGTTCTCCATGTTTGGAAATTTGAGGCTGGCTGCTGTTATTTTTGTGTTATTTTTAGTTATTGTGCTATATGATTGTGAATAAGAGGTGACTGTACTCCACTAGTTGTTACTACTGAATAACCGGGGATCTTCTCCTAAATTGTCGATTCTCGCGTCAAAAGGTAGTAGTTACTATGAGTGCGTGATCCCGTAGCGATTGGAACTGAGTAACCGGGCTCCTCCATCTGACAAATGTTGGAGTTCGCGTCAAAAGGCTCTAATGGCTAGAGACTAAGTCTTTTACTATTCTTAATTAAAAAAAAACAAAAAAAAGAAGAAAAAAAAGGAGAGAAAATAGAAAAGTGTGGAAAAAAAAGAGTGAAGGGTGTGTCAAATGTGACAAAAGTTAGCCTGTCGATTTATGGGTTAATGTTGAGATTTTAGTTAATAGTTGGACCATTTATTGATAAATGTGAGCAACCATTCCTTTTTCTTAGATTAGTTTGCTTTAAATTGGAGGAGTTGGTGGTTGGGAAGCTAACCGGGGTGGTCTTTCTTGGATCTTAACTTGTGATACTTGATATATGTTTTTCTGGGTATCTTGGCAATACGGTAGTTGGAGCAACAGTCATTGTCAAATTTTGGTGTTCAATTGCTGTTCTCCTGCTTGAGGGTAAGCATGGTTCAGGTGTGGGGGGAATTGATAGGGTGTTAATTGTTGGTTATTTTATTATTAATTTCCCCTTTATCCTTGCCAAATATTGTTTTAATTATTAATATTTACTTATATTTGGTATTTGGACTTAATTTCAGGGAATGGAGCAGAAAACTACTAAAAATGAGAGATTTTCTGGAGCAAATTGCTCCACACATGAGAGACCTCAAAAAGTTTCACAAATCGGGGCCCACCTGGAGCTGCAGACGGATTGCATCTCCTTTTGCTGAGTAGGAGTGTTTTGAGCATAAACAATCCTATGGGCAATAGGAAACTAAAAGCAAGGAATTCGGTAGAGCCCCACTTTTGGTTTGATTCTCAATTTTGGCGGGGACCACGGAGATAAGAAGAGTGAGTCATTTGGACTCTTGGAAAAGAAACGTACAGAGGCTTGTGAAATGGAATTGGACTCTCAATTCGTGCGGGGACCACTAGATAGATAGCATTGAGTCATTTCTTTTGGCTTTAAGAAGACAAACGTACAGGAGGTTTTCTTATCAATAGTTTTAGCTTAGTTTTTAGCATAGTTTGGTTTTATTCTTTCTTAGTTCCTTTGATGGCCTGAACCTCAGTAAATTACTTGGAGATTTTCTCATGAGGCGTGGCTAAGTTTTTCTAGTCGAAGGTCAATTTGAGGACTCGATTCCGAACATCTGTGAGATCTAATTATTTTATTTATTTCTTTTATTTATTTGTATTTGTACGTTTCCTGATTTAATTGTTTATGATTGTTTTGTTATTTGAATGTCAAGGGTCCGATATTCGAATTAACCTAATAATCTACTGTCATATTAATTGATTGAATCCGTAATTGTTCTATCGATTAATACCAATGGCGACTAGCGTGATTGGTTTCATGTTAGGGAAACGTATGATCTAACTTAAACAAACCCTCGTAGCGTGTTTGTTGGTTAGGGTTGGGCTTTTCTAATTATTAATGCAGTCAAGTAATTAAATCCTATGGTCGTACCTAGGGTTATTTCTTGGTTAGAGAAATAGTTAACGGTCGTACCTTAACTATCGAGAAATTAAGGAAAGGCTGGTTGTTCATCGCGTGTATGGCAACTATAACCAATCTATTAATGAGTAATTGAATTATCTTTGCGTCGATGATCAGTTGCATAGACCGTATCTGAAAAGTTGTACCTTTGGCTAGAGTCATATTGGTTATTGATTAAATTCTATTTATTTCTATTAGTTGTTTTATTAGTTAATTAATTAGTTATTTTATATTCTCCAAAAACCCCCCCCCATACTTCGGATTCTAAAAGAAATAAATTATCCCCAGTTCCTGTGGGTTCGACCCTGCTTATCATTATCTACAGAAATTATATTTTATTTAAACAGGTATTTATTATTGCACAGATTCGGCACCCTGTCAATGGGGTTGCGCTTGGCATAGGCATCAATAGTGGTTGGCCAAGTCCTTTTCTGTTTAGGAAGGTGATAGGCGATAGGTGTTGGGTTCATAATTTGAGGTGTGAGATTAATCAATAGACAAAATACAGTGTTAATTTGGGGCGAGAAGCTTTTTGAGGGTATTTTAGTTGGTTGTGGTGGTTATGATTGATTGTAGAGGAAGTGATTTGGGTAGAGTTTGGAATCTTGATGATGCCGAAATTGATAGAAATTAGGGATTAAGTTGGAGTGCGATTTTTGGTAAAATTTGGGATTTTAGTGATGCCAAAATTGATGGAATTTGGGGTTTAAGTTGGAGTTTGCTTGAACAGGTTAATGAGGTTTTGGGTTTACAATTATCGTGGAAGCATAGCAAGTCTAGATAAAAATGTTTGTTACCTTTTTTTTTGGTTAAATTGATCACTAAACCTTTTTTTTTTTCACTTTCTTTTGATGTATGATATTGCATAAGGGTATTTTAGGATACTTAAGTATAATTCTAGTCTGATGGATCTATTCAGTCTCTTCAGCAGTAAAGCAAGAGAGGTTAGTGTAGTTTTCTAAAATTGGGGGGAGCTGAGTGACATTGTCAGAAACCTCAAGGGAAATTTCTGAAATTATCCCTTTCCTTAGCTAGGATAAATATTTGGGCACTTAGATACAAGATGGGACACAGATGGTTTTTTAATTATAAAGTTGTGAACAACAAATTGATTTTAGGAGCTCCCCCAGCCTAATTTTCCTTCTAGAATTACTTCAGACAAGAAATTCCTTTACCTCTATTCTCCAGCTCTTCCTAGATTTTTTTTTTTATATTTGTTTTTGTAATAATTTTCTCTTCAAAAATTCTCCCAGTTCGAATTTATTCGGATTCTCCTAGTGGGGAATTTATATTCTATTACAATTTTTCTAGCAAGAGTTTTTTCGTTGAATTTTTAACTTCATTTGTTCTTACTAGATTTGGGATCTCTTTTAGGTTAGTCAGATCTAAACTTTCTCTTGAGCCTTGTAACTTGCACTCGTTAAATTTGCTCGTAGTAGACATGAACAGCTAATCTATTCAAGCTGCGTAGAGTTATTGGTATTTGTGGAAATTTTGAAGTTTTAGAGTGTTATCTGCCATTGACTGCACCAGTAGTATCTTTTTTTTTTTTCCCTTGTATTTGGTGCTGATAGTGCAACTTTTGAAAGTCTCTTGCTTATTAAAAAAAATAAATAAATTGGTTTTAGGAGAAAACAAACGTAAATATAGCAATCAACAACTTTTAACGGGAGGTTCCTGAGTAAACAGGGCCATCTCGACAAAGGAAAGGAAAGAATACTGTGCAAGATTCTAGTCTTCAAATGGAGGAATGCAGACTCAGTTTTGGATCCTGGATTTAGCTAACGACAAAGTTAATTGAATTAGCATTTTCCTTGTAAAAAAAAAAAAACTCGAATATTAAGATATTTCAATTAGCGCATGAATTTTTTACTGAAAAATAAATACAGCTTCAATGAATTCGGATTTAACACCGGTTACATCCCTTTTCATGAAACTCAAATGTTAAAAATATTATTTGTTCCATCTATTATTTCATTTTCCTCAATGAATTTCGACAGGTGACTTGATGTGACGAAGTTGTTGAAGTATTAAATTCCCACTGAACAAAAGTTACTTCGCACATTAACTGCTTGGCCTATCCTCGCAAGAATTTATCCCAAGTCTCAAGAATTTAACAGGCCTGCTATAACCATGCATCAATTTATGACCTCCCTCATTTTTATGAGCCTCACCCCAGAATCCACCTTTGTGGCCAAAAATATACTTCATTTGCATTTGTCAGTGTTATGAAGTTGACCGAGATAGAATTCCAGCTTGTCCAGTAGTTGACAATATTTCTGCCGGTGATTTGTTACTCACAACTCTCTTTAATATATAATTGGTTCGTGATACATAAGAGCAATATGTAAGTTGATTCGCCAATTAATATATGTTAGAAAAATCCCACTCTAAGTTGTAGTTGCCACAAACGAAATCACGGACTATCCCTTAATTTTAGGAATTTTCCTATTTATATTTATCGCTTATACATGTTGCAATTTTTAATCTTTTGCTCATTCTAGTGATCATTATGTGATGATAATAATTAATCTCAATGAATGCCCGTCCTTGGGGGGTCGCATTTTGAACTCCAAAGGATAAATTGAGTGATAGATATGCATATAAACTATAAAGAGAGGAGTCTATTTTCTGGTAAGGTTAATGAACTTACATTATTTTTTTTATGTGTGCAACTATTTTGCAGACCAATAGAAATAAAATTGCTACTAGATAGGAAAATAGGAGTGTTACAGGATACTAAGAAAAATACATCTATGCCATCGACTAGCATCACCAGTGGTCGGTTAGTCCCAACATCCAAGTTCTTGAAAGGTTGCAGGATGAAATGGAACATGGCCTAGGGATGCTTTGCCGGCCAACATCCGCAGATAAGAGCTTAACTTCATTATTCAATGAATCCACAAGTGGGAAGCTGCAAAATACATATAGGACGGCAGGGAAAGTAAATTAGGAGTATGACCTTTTAATTCCTGAGGCAAAAGCAATAATACGAAGTAGTCAAACTTAAGTTTTGTTCCTTCTTGGTCTGAGTTGTTGGCTTTATTCAAGTAGTAGCATATTAATCATTAATGATCTTTCAAATCTCGAATGTGCAAGAGTGTGTAAGGTATATTGTCTCAATTCGAGCACTAGTATGTTAGATTTAAAGAACAAATTAAGCTAAAGGACAACTGAATACTTTTATTTCCATTGTCTCCGTTTCTGATAGTGCAAAAAAGTGCTAAAAACAGCAAGAAAAAAGGAAGAAAAAAAAAAAAAAAGAAGAAGCAACTCCATACTTGTTTATCATCTTAGTTGACCAGACGACTTGTGCAGTAATAAATCTTTTTCAGCCTCATGTGCAGAGCTAATAATTGAGAAAAGGACTATCATTATTACAGTCCCACACATCCTGATTTTCTGACCAAATATCTTGCGGAAGAGTTTTCAATTAGCCATCTAAAAGATAAATAGTTAGTGCTCTAGCATCTAACTCCACAATATGGAATGAATCTTGAATATTCCTATCTGTATCCCCTTCTCCCACATACTATAAATGAAAATTTATCATTTTAAGATTGACAAAAAAAAAGGAAGAGGTTTCTTAGTTTCTTATGAAAATAACCCACGGTTTCATTTAATATAGATTATAAAGGAGTATGAATTATGGAGAGAACCAAAATTCCAGACTCGGAGATGGGATCACTGATTCATAAACTTAAACTAATAATAATTGAGCAAAATTAAGTGAAACTTAGATTAAGCGACCAATAAGTAAAACAAAATACTAGTATTAGTAAGCAGTAAGTACCTGTTCTGGATATTTTCCAGTCCAGATCATAGCTCAAAGCCCAGAAGAAGTAACCACGAATCCTGAGAGCCTGAGCATATCCAATCCTTGCTGCTGTAGATCTACTATCATCATATCCAACCCATGCAGTTCCCGCAAATGAATAAGTAGACGCAGTAGCCACATCAAATCCAACTGTGGCATTGTTCTTTTTATTAAACTCCTCGACCTTGTAATACAACAAAATCCCCCTTCCACCAGCACCCTCAGGACCAAGACCAACTGCGGGAGCTCCCACGCCATGGACGCTAGGGTCCTTTAGCGTCCATGTTTTGCCATAAAGCGGCAAACCCATCACCAATTTGCTCCTCAAGATCCCTGCCTTGAGCCAAGATCCCAATCCATAGCTAGTACTGATGTTACTTTTTGGGTCAAATAATGCTGAATTGGAACCTGTGATTGTAGGTTCCCAGGCGCCATGATAATCGTAGCACATGGCATTGATCCAATCTAAATTCTTGTTGATTGAGGCTATTGGGTAAGTTCTGGGCGTAGCAGCTAGGAAAAAGGTTGAAGAGAAATAAACTGCTGCGGAGAGCAAGAGCTGAGGTCGATGTGTTGCTTTGGATTCTTTTACGATTTCAGCTCTCCATTCGTCGAATAGGCTGCCTAAGTCGTTCATTTCCTGCGAGTTTTGAGGGAACTCCCAGTCGAGATCGAATCCATCGAACCCGTATTTTCTTGCTACTTCTATGGTGGAGAGGATGAAGCTCCTGCGAGAGGCTGGAGTCGAGGCCATGCGGGAAAATACAGTCGGATCATCGCCTCCTCCGCCAATGGAGAAAAGTGTCCTGACTGGCGGATTTTTGGAGTGAAGAGTTGATGTGAAGTTGGTGAGAAGTTGTGCTGTTGAAGCATCTATGCC